CCAAGCTCCATTCATGGTAAGTGCCCTATACAGGTGTACCATTTTTTATATTTGATACCATATTTTTACTGTACCTTTTCTATGTTTAGATATGTTTAGATAACACAAATACTTTGTGTTACAGTTGCCTGTTCAATACAGTCACATGCTGTACAGGTTTGTAGCCTAGGAGCAATAGACTGTACCGTATAGCCTATGCGTGTAGTAGGCTGTGCCATCTAGTTTGGTGTAAGTCCACTCTATGATGTTCCACAACAACTAAATTACCTAACACGTTTCTCAGACATATCCCTGTCATCAAGTGACACATGATTGTATTTTAAGCATTGGCCATGCTAGTTTTCTTTGGAGATTGTATTCCTTATTAGGTCACTTTTTGGCTCGTTTTTATAGATCTGAGCAACATCGATAGTAATATGTGACATTTGTATAATGCTTCACGGTTTAAAGAGTCCTCTTGAATACTCTTCTACTTCATCCCATAATAGCAAGTAACAGTCCCCCTGGGTCAGTTTTATGAATGAGAAAGTGGAGCTTCATAGTACTTAAGTGATTTGCTTGAGGTCACAGAACTTCTAAGAAGAGAATTTAGAGCTGGAGCTCCCTAGACTGTAAATCCTCTGGTTGAGGACCTCTGCTTTAAAGGATAGAAGAAAAATGAGTAAAATTAAAAAGTAAAAAGTAAAGTGGTAGCAATTTAGTGCTTCTACTCAACTTTCATCTATTAGTGGTGGGTATTTTTCTTCTATCTTGAGTGTTAAAACTTTTCAAGAATTTACATACTTGTTAATATAAAAGATCATATCTCCTTTGGATATTGTATGTCATTGTTCAGTTTTTTAAAATTTACAATTTTAATATCATTACCTTCAATTTTATAGCCACTGTTTTCACTTAGATTTTACTTCTATTCTAGTCTTAGAACAAAAGAAATCTATTTATTTGAATGTGTATGGTGTTTTTACATGCTGAAAAGAAATCTTCTCTAACAATTTTTGACTCTTGTCTCTTCTGATGGAGAACATTCAGTATTATACTGCTACTACCACTTCTTGTCATTAGATTAAAAATGACCTAACTTCAGATCCTTATCTGTTCCTGATAGCATTAAAAAAATTGTTTTGAAAGCTATGTACATGAAAATAAAATAGGATAAATATTGCTAGAGTAAAATGTGTTTTCATGTTGGAAGTGCAAGAAATGCCAATAAAGATAGAGAAAATTATAAACATATGTAAAAAATACAGGCATACCTCAGAGATATTGTTGGTTCAGTTTTAGACCACCACAATAAAGCAAATATTGTAATAAAGTAAGTCGTGAATTTTTTGGTTTCCCAGTGCACATAGAAGTTATGTTTACACTGTACTGTAGTCTATTAAGTTTGTAATAGCATTATGTTTTTTAAAAATACGTACCTTAATTAAAACCTTTATTGCTAAAAAATGCTAATGATCATTGGAGCCTTCAGCAAGTTACCTTTTTGCTGGTAGAAGGTCTTGCCTCGATGTTAATGGTTACTGACTGGTGGTTGCTCAAGGCTGAGATGGAAGTTTCTTAAAATAAAACAACAATGAAGTTGGCCATGTCAATTTACTTTTCCTTTTACAAAAGACTTCTCTGTAGACTATGACGCTATTTGATAGCATTTTACCCACAGTAGAACTTCTTTAAAAATTGGAGTCAATCTTCTCAAACCCTCCTGCTGCTTTATCAACTAAATTTCTAAATTTAATCTTCTAAATCCTTTGTTGTCATTTCAAGTGTTCACAGAATCATCAAGAGTAGACTCCATCTCAAGAAACCACTTTCTTTGCTTATCTATAAGAAGCAATTCCTCATTTGTTCAAGTATTATCATGAGATTGCATCAGTTCAATCACATATCTAGGTTCCACTTCTAATTCTAGTTCTCTTGCTGTTTCTTCCACATCTGTAGTTACTTTCTGCACTGATGTCTTGAACCCCTCCAAGTCATCCACAAGAATTGGAATCATCTTCTTCCAAACTCTCACTAATGTTGATATTTTGACCTCCTCCTTTGAATCATATTTTTTTTTTTTTTTTTTGAGACAGGGTCTCTGTCACCCTGGCTAGAGTGTAGTGGGATGATCATAGCTCACTGCAACCTCAAACTCCTGGGCTCAAGTGATCCTCCTGCCTCAGCCTCCCAGAGTGCTAGGATTATAGGCATGAGCTACTGCGCCAGCCTCATAAATGTTCTTAATGGCATCTAGAATAGTGAGTTCTTTTCAGAAGGTTTTCAATTTAATTTGTCCAGATCCATCAGAGAAATCAGTATTTATGGCACCTATAGCTTTACAAAATGTATTTCATTAATGATAAGCCTTTAAAGTCAAAATGACTCCTTGATCCATGGGCTGCAGAATAGATGTTGTGTTAGCAAGCATGAAAACAACATTCATCTCCTTATACATCTCCATCACCACTCTTGGGTGGGGTGCAGGTACATTGCCAATGAATAGAAATATTTTGAAAAGATTGTTTTTTTTTCTGGGCAATAGGCCTCAACAGTGGGTTTAAAGTATTCAGTAAACCATGTTGTAAACAGATATGCTGTCATCCAGGCTTTGTTATTCCATTTATAGAGCATAGGCAGAGTACACTTAGCATAATTCTTAAGGGCTCTAGGATTTTTGGAATGGTAAATGAGCGTTGGTTTCATCTTAAAGTCACTATTTACGTTAGCCCCTAACAAGGAGAGTCAGCCTATCCTTTGAAACTTTGAAGCCAGGCATTGAATTCTCTTCTAGCTATGAAAGTCCTAGATGACATCTTCTTCTACCAGAAGGCTGTTTTGTCTATATTGAAAATCTGTTGTTTAGTATAGCCACCTTCGTGAATGATCTTAGCTAGATCTTCTGGATAACTTGCTGCAGTTTCTCCATTAGCACTTGCTGCTTCACCTTGTTCTTTTAGGTTATGAAGATAGCTTCCTTCCTTAAGCCTCATGAACCAACCTCTGCGAGCTTCAAACTTCTGCAGTTTCCTCACTTCTCTTAGCCTTCATAAAATTGAAGAGTTAGAGCCTTGCTCTGGATTAGGCTTTGGCTTAAGGGAATGTTGTGGCTGGTTTGATTTTTTTATCTAGACCATTAAAACTTTCTCACATCGTCAATAAAGCTATTTTACGTTCTTATCATTCATGTGTTCATTGGAGTAGGCCCCCCCCCCTTCTTTTTTGAGACACAATCTCACTCTGTCACCAAGACACCAGGACTGGAATGTAATGGCACAGTCACAGCTCACTGCAACCCCCAACTCCTGTGCTCAAGTGATCCTGCTAGCTCAGCATCCTGAGTAGCTAGGGCACAGCCAATTTTTTAAATTTTTTGTAGAGACGGGGTCTCATTATGTTGTCCAGGCTGGTCTTGACTTCCTGGCGTCAGCAATCCTCTGCCCGGCCTCCCAAAGTGCTGGGATTACAGGTGTGAGTCACTGGGCCCAATCAGGAGTGGCATTTTCAGTTTCCTTCAAGAACTTTTCCTTTGGATTCACAAATTGAAGTGTCTTCCTCACTAACCTTAATTGTTTCTAGCTTTTGAATTAAAGTTAGAGACATGTGACTCTTCCTTTCACTTGAACCCTTAGAGGCCATTGTAAGGTTATTCATTGGCCTAATTTCAATATTGCTGTGTCTCAGGAAGTAGAGAAGGCCCCAGGAGTGGCAGAGAGATGGGGAACAGCTGGTTGGTGGAGCCATCAGGACACACACATTTATCAACTAAGTTTGCTGTCCTCTATGTCCTTTATGCCCCAAAACAATTACACTAGTAAACATCAAAGATCACTGGTCACTGATCACCAAAAATGATATAATAATACTGAAAAAGTTTGAAAATTACCAAGTGTTACACAAAGACACAAAGTGAGCACATGCTGTTGGAAAAACGGTGGTGATAGACTTGTCAATGCAGAATTGCCACAAACCTTCAATTTGTAAAAAAATGCAGTGAAGTAGAATAAAGTAGAATAAAGCAAAGCATAATAAAACCAGGTATGCTTGTATAAAAATACTATAGTTATAATGGAGGAAATTACAAAAGTGTTGTCAAACACTGTAGTATATACTATTTTTATAATCTACCTTTTTTTACCTTGTCATTGATTCTAGCATTAGTCTAACCATTTGGTTGGCCTGTATCATTTTACTTATACTGCTTATGTTGGGAATAAGTGATACAGTTTTATTTTTAAAATAAGAAGTCTGTACTTACTTTTGTAATGGATTTCTGGAGATTATATTTTAAAATAGTTTAAAATTAAGGAGGGAAAAATAATAAAAAGAAAATCTAAAGAACCAGGTAGGTAAGAGGAAAATGGGAGGAGAAAGGGACAAGATTGGAAAAAAGTAAAAATTCTCCAATGTTTTAGAAAAGAGAAATACTGAGTTTGCTTAAGAGATTGGGACAGTTGCCAAAATCAACATGTGTATGCGTTATCAGACCGAAGTATTTGGGGTTGGGAACTCCCTGGGTCTGCCACTTGAAGGTTGTTTGGTATTGGGCAAATCACTTAACTTTTCTGAACCTCAGAGTAGCTAAGATTAATGCATACAGAAGTCGTATATGAAATAGTTAGTACTATATAAATATTATTCCTTTTTTTTATGTTTTTGGCTGTGAGATAATGGGCAAGTAAACCAAGTTCCTTGTACATACTACATAAAGATGCTTATTTATTGTGAGATTTTTACCTCTTGTCTGCTACTACTTTTCAGAATCTCATTCTTGAGGTTCTTGTGTATTAGCCTTTAGATTGTATTTATCAGTTCTTTCTTTTCATGATAAATTTGGACTAAAATAAGACTTATGATAATAATAGTAATTTACATGTTTTATAGCTTATAACATAAGACCACAATACCAATAGTAGTCTTTAGTGACTTATTGTAAATTATTAAGTTATAGTGATAGCTATAAATTTTATATTAGATAGTTTTGTTTTTAATGGTTATCCTTTTAAATCCTCTTTCTTTAGATACAGAAGTTTATGGTGAGTTTTATCCTGTGCCACCTCCCTACAGTGTTGCTACCTCTCTTCCTACATATGATGAAGCTGAGAAAGCTAAAGCCGCTGCAATGGCAGCTGCAGCAGCAGAAACATCTCAAAGAGTAAGAACAGTTTATCGTTTCTTTTGATAATTTTTTTTGTTAATTGAAATGTACATTTAGTGATATCAAAAATAGTCTTTATGCATAAGAGTGTGTATATGTGTGTGTGTGTGTAGATTTCTTTTTTTAGTACAGCTGACCCTTGAACAATATGGGTTTGAACTTCATGGGTCCACTTATATGCAGATTGTTTTCAGTAAATGTATTGGAAAATTTTTTGGAGATTTGCAACAATTTGAAAAAACCTGTGGACAAACTGCATAGCCTAGAAATATTGAAAAAATTAAGAAAAAGGCATGTCTTCAATGCATAAAATATATGTAGAGACTAGTCTTATTTATGCGTTGGTCTACTGTTTATATTATCAGTAGGGTTTCCAGTGAACAGTAGGCTATTAATAGTTAAGTTTTTGGGGAATCACAAGTTATATACAGTTTTTCAACTGCATGGGGGTCAGTGTCCCAAACCCCCCAGTTGTTCAAGGGTCAACTGTATTTTCTCTACTGTTGTTTATATGTGTTGTCATTTTTTTTGGTGAAATTGGCACTGTCCTGGTTAAATTCACCTTCTTCATTCCTTGACTTTCTCATTTCTATTACTGTTCTCCTCCACTTCATCTCAGCTTGTGGGTCATCCTAGACCTTATCTCTGCTAAGACATTTATCACTTCTTAAATTTTGATTTCAGACATCTCATCCTTCACTCCCATCCTTCTAACTCATTCACTGTTAGTTACCACCACCCAACAGTTCTTCTCTTTCACTTGGACCTCTAGTCCATTGACCTCTTCACTGTCCATGTACTTATTTCCCTCCTTATATAGTTTGGATTCCATGGTCTGTCATTATAATCATGAGTTATCTTTTTTTCTATTTATGTTTTATATATTAGCATAACCAGTTTAGTGACGCTATGAAAGAACTCAAGGTAGACTAAAAAGCATAGAGAAATAAGTTACCAGGGCTTCAAATTATTTTTGTCAGCTACTCCTCCCCTCCCTTTTAGCATATCCTATCCTAGAATTTTGGAGTAATGGTCAAGTACCTCCCCTTTCTCCCTCATCTTCCTGTCTTAGTAATAGAGAGAGTCAAGGAGATACATGTTTGTTATTCTTTGTTCTGGTAAAAGGAGTGGCTTTTCAGTAATGAAGAGTCAGTGAGATACATGTGTGCTCTTCTGCAACCAGGTAAGAGGTAGAAAGTATTTACATTTTAGTGTGGCTGCAAGCAGGGCTAGAATTCATTGTCTTTTTTTCTTGCTTCAGATGTGAGTTGTCATTTCAGATCCCTGTATTCATTCCCTGTATTCATCATTCATGTTGTTCAGGAAAAAGACACAAAAAATCACTTCACCTGGGAAAACTAGAATTAGGTGAGGAGCCAAGGGGAGGGATGTGCTTCCCTGTATGGCATTCTCTTCTTGCTCTCTGAGGTCAGAGCCCAGTGAGTAGATCCTCTGAGAGGTGAGCATGTGTCCTGAATGTGTTTCTTTCCTTAGCTACAACCCTTTCCCTGCCTGCTCCCACTCCTTTTCGCCAGCACACACAGGGTTAAACATCAATATAAACAGCTTTGGACACGGTTAGGAAGTTAGGTAAAGACAGTAAACCCCATATTTTTATGCCTTTTCCGTCTCTGGGGGGTGGGGGGGTGGAATATGCTACTGTCTCTTAGGACAGTAGCATAAATATAGCTCAGTCAATAAGGATTTTTGATGCTGTGAGGGGAGAATCATAGAGAAGAAGGATAGATCTATAAAATAGGGAGTTTCTGTCAAAATGAACTTCAGGTTGCTTAGAACACATGTGTTTGTAAATGCACATGCACATCTCTCAGTGAAGTAGATTGACAGTAACTCCTTTTCTCAGGGGTTATCTCCCTAGAGACCTTGGCAGTGGCAAAGGTCTTCAAAGAGCATTATGGACCCTTGGGTCCTTTACTGCCCTAACTTTCGTACGATAGGATAGAACTCTGAAGACAAAGTAGGAAGCATTAAGTCTTATTACGTGTGCTTGTGCTTTGAGAAAAGCATAAAGGTGGTTTTACCCTTCTTGGAGAGAGTATTCTGAAATATTACCATTCCATTCCTTCACTGTCATCATTTCCAGTGCCTTGGGCATTGTGGAAAATTTCATAGAAAGCAAAGTAGAATTGTACGCCAGAGAGTAAAGTAGGTCCTTGTACAAAATCTTTCAAATTTATCAGTGTTTCCTAAGCCAGTGTTCCAACACCCTCTTTCTGCAAAGTATGAGTGTTTGTGTGTGTCTGTATATCTGATTTAGACAGAAAGCTGGTGTATACTTGAAAATCACTAGGAGTAGATTTTAAGTTGTTCTCACCACAAAAATGCTAAGTATATGAGGTAATGCATACACTAATTAGCTCTATTTAGCCATTCCACAGTGTATACATATTTCAGAACATCATGTTGTACACCAAAAATCATACAGTTTTTGTCTATTAAAAAATTTAAAAATTGAAAAAACCCTTGGTCTGATTAGCATTTGAGTACATTCAGTTGTAAATGAGTCTCACCTGGGTGAGCTGAACGCTTATTTCTTGAACAGACTCTCATTGGGAGAATATAGGCAGTCAAGAGACTGAAACAATACTGTTTTCTGTTTCTTATTTTTAATGTGTAGAGTTGTTTGTATATTACAGAACGGTTGAATATAAGATTTATGGAAATGAATTGCCCATTTTTAATATTTCTATGAAAAATACTTGAATTCCAAATCATTAACTTTATAAAGCTTTTAGAACATGGCTTGTTGTTCATCATGGAGGCTTATCGTATGATCTTAAAGTGGATAGAATTGACTTTTTTGTAACTTGTTTTAAATTGATTCAATAACGTGTCTTTTGATGTAAGAACTAGAACTTGATAATGTGTGAGCAACTCTGGGGCACACACCTTGCATTTACATTCCCAACACCTATTATCTGGTGCATATTTATTGTTTAATAAATGACAGTTTACTAAGTTAATGAGACTTTTTTTTTTTGTATTAGCCAATATGGGAAATTAGGAATAAGAGAAGACCACAGGTGTTCTCTTACAGCTGCTCATTTTAAAATTTTTTGATGTCTTTTACCAATTTTAGGATTTATAAATTAATGTTTAATATAGTTGAAATTATTGCATACATACCATCTTTTATTTTTAAACATTTTATATAAATACTTTCCTGTTATTTAATGGTTGAGGGAAACTCCATGGAATCAATATACTATTACAATTTAGTGGCCATTCTTCTCTAGTGAATAATCATTAGTTTCAAATGTTTGTATTCGTTTTTTTTTTTTTTCTCAAGTGTTAATATCATAAAAGAAATCTTTGTGCATTTTGTCTTCTGTCTTTTAAAAAATGTCCTTTGATAAAATCTCTGGACAGGTGTTTTAAAATATATAATATGAAATAATTATATTTTTGCCATTACATTGACAGTTTTTCTGTTCATACTGTACTTTAGTGTTTATTTCTTGAATTAATTTGAAATTATATAAAATTTTATTAATATGCATTCAATCATTGCCAGTCATTAAAGTTTGCCTATGATATATGATTGCAGAGTTTAAGGGATCTTTGTGCTCAAATAATGAGTAACATAACATGGTTTTGAAAGTTTCTTTCAGGAAAGCAATATATTTAGACTGCCATGATTGGCTGGAAAGAACATCAGTATCCTAGACTCAAGTTCCACTTTGACGTTCCTAGTTAACGTGATCTTGGGCAGGACTCTCTAGCTTTTCCGACTGAGCCTCACAAAATTGAATCATTAATATTCAACTGAGATTATGTATGTATAATTTGGAAATGATGGACCTATATAAATTAGGTCAAGTCACTCATCCAATCAAAATTTTGTAAGACCTCCCATTTTACTCAGTAAAATCCAAGGTCCTTCAGTGGACTCTCTGACCTCATTTCTTCCTGTTTTCTCTCGTGTTCACTCTGGTCCAGCCATGCTAGCCTCTTTGCTGTTACTCTAACAGGCCATGCATACTCTATCTTAGGACCTTAGCTTTGGCTAATTCTTCTGCCTAAAGCACTTTTCTATGAGATGCCTGCATAACTAAATTTCTTACTTCTAAGTTTTTGCTCAAGTGTCACCTTAATGAGGCCTATCTGACCACTATATTTAAAACTGTAACCCTTAACCCCGTAGCATTCCCAAACTTTCCCTTTCCTTCCTTTTCTTTGGCATAGAATTTATACCTTTTAATAATTATATAAATAACTTATTTATTATGTCTTTGTTTATTGTCTGGCTCCCCTCATTGGAATATAAGTTCCACAAGGGCAAGCATATTTGTTTTGTGTACACTGATGTATCCTAAGGACCAGGAAGCTAAGTCTTGTGTAGAATAGGTATTCCATTAATATTTGTTGAAAATTAGAAGCAATCAGTGATAACAGGTTTTATATACACTTTCAGAGAAATTCTTTACTTTTATAAGCAAATATATTAATATGTGAGTATATTATTTTTATATAAACAAAATACTGTATAAATAATTTCCACTTCATATATTTTGGAAATTATTAAGAATATTAGGAATATTAAGAACTTTTGTGTTCTTATTAGCCAGGCGTGGTGGTGCGTGTCTGTAGTCCCAGCTACTTAGGAGGCTTGAGCCAGGAGTTTGAGGTTGAAGTGAGTGAGCTATGATGGTGCCACTGCACTCTAGCCAGGGCAACAGATTGAGACCCTGTCTCAAAAAAAAAAAACAAAAACAAAACTTTTTGTTCTTTTTTATTTACTTTTAAATTTTTGCGTTGCTTTTTGAATTTTATTGGATAGACATGCAATAATTCATTTTATCTGCCTGTCAAGAACTGTGAACAGTCTGAAATTTTACTGGACTTACAAGCTAACGGACTAGGTTGTCACAGTTCCTCGGATGCTGGCAGAAGACATGAGACCGCTGGGTCAGAGAAAAAGACTTTATTATTCACAACAGTAGCAGTAGCCAGAGTATTAGCATTTTCTGTGCCAGTTTCTTGACCTCCAAGTCCCACAGGGCAACACAAAGAGGGCTAAGTGATAACCTCCATGTTCAGTGTGCTGAGTCACAGGAGAGAAACCCTGGGCATAGGGAACCCAACTCTTTCCTGATGGTAAATTAGAATGCCCACACCTCTGAAAGGTCCACAGCTCTCCACTATATAAACTCTCAGAAAAAGGCAGCCAGTGCCTCTGTCTAGAAGACACGTAGAAACATAATAGACCCATGGAGAATTCTCTTAACATAGTCCACTATGGATGGGCATTTAGATTGTGTCTAATCTTCTGTTCTTATTAACATTGCTGCAATGGATTATCTTTAATACATCATTTCTTGTAAGTGGGGATACGTGTATGTATTTCTACAATATGTTGTAAAAACTGGAATTGTTAGATCAAAGGGTATGTACATTTTAATTTTGATAAATATCACCAAATTGCCAACCGTAGAGGTTGTACCAATTTATACTCCACCACTGATTATGAAAGTTCTTGTTTCCCCATTTAATATTAATGCAGCAGTATTACATTTATCTTCTTGGTACCCTTTGCATGCGTTTGATGTTATTCAACGTTATCTTTTTTGGGTTTACCTTTTAAGTTATTCTTTTCAAGGGTGCCCATGGAAAAGTAATGCTTGCTAATGTTTATTGATTCCTTACTCTGTGCCAGACATTGTACTCATTATCTCATTTTGTCTGTACAGCACATTGAGAGCACTAGATTTTGTTGAAGTTCTTTTTCTTTTATTTAAGATGATAGAGTTGTGATTATTTTAGTGAGCTATTCTAATGTTACATGTTACAGATTCAAGAGGAAGAGTGCCCACCAAGAGATGACTTCAGTGATGCAGACCAGCTCAGAGTGGGTAATGATGGCATTTTCATGTTGGCGTTTTTCAGTAAGTGATCTTTCCAAACTGTTTTTTTGCGTATATTGGCTGTGTTTGCATTAAAGTAACATAGTGAAGAAAAGCAAATATTATTAGAATGTATCTACCTTGTTTAAAGTACAGATTGTTCCTGATACTGAACTAATGAATACTGTGATCATGTTACATTACGAACCCTAGAATTTATTAAACACTTACTGAGTAATTATGCATTGCCACCATTATGCTGTATGCTGACCATATAAAATTATATAAACACATTTAAGCTAATTAGGATTTTGTAAGAGAAATGCTGCAGTACTGGTGCCATTCACTGCTATAAGGGCATATAGAATGAAACTAAATCCTGCTTTTGGAGCAGAAGACTTCCATTTGGGTGTCCTTAGGCCAGAAGAAAGGTTAGAAAAGGAGAGATATTCTGGCAACTAGAACAATGTCACTTGAGACACAAAGGTATGAAAGTATAAGTTTTATTTGGAGGAATGGTGAGTAGTTAGATTGGAAACCTGAGTAATATTTTTTAACATCTTGCAAAATTCTTAATTTAATATTTGATTTATAAAGTAAATTTAAGCTCCTTGAGGGACGCCTGTGTCATAGTCTTCATTATTTCAGCACCTTACATGAGGGATCAGAATAGTTAACTCATTAAATAATATTAAGACACTCAATAAACTGTTTAAACTACTAAAGCCAGTGGTAGAAACCCAATATTCATGTAAGTAAATTTATTAGTCTATGATACCGTTAATTTCTGCCCTCAATCTGGTTAAATGATTAAACTTTCATTCTTGGTTATAAAGTAAATTTAAGCTCCTTGAGGGACGCCTGTGTCATAGTCTTCATTATTTCAGCACCTTACATGAGGGATCAGAATAGTTAACTCATTAGATAATATTAAGACACTCAATAAACTGTTTAAACTACTAAAGCCAGTGGAAGAAACCCAATATTCATGTAAGTAAATTTATTAGTCTATGATACTGTTAATTTCTGCCCTCAATCTGGTTAAATGATTAAACTTTCATTCTTGGATAGAATGCTGATTTAATTCATTTTAATTATAAAGTTTATTTAAATGAGAAAACTGAGAAATAGTTTACTTATTTAAAGTGCCACATTCAACTTTAACAAATAGAAAATACATACTTCGTGAGTTGTTACTTTTGAGTCTGGAAGTTCACTTTTTCCTCCATTTTGAAATGGTTTCTTTCTTTTATTTCATCTGCTGAAGAAAAGAAGTTGGGGGAGGGTAGGCAGTATTTTTCTCTTCAAACTTAGTAAATTATATTCAAGTTGTCAATCAGCTAACATATATGTAATATTTAAATCTTAAATTGATTTTAGTTACAATTTCTAGTTAGATATATCAGGTACAACGAAAAGCAAATGAACTCTTTGGTTACAGATGAGTACTGTTTTGTACTATAATTCTAGTGGACCTTGGTTTTTATCTTAATTTTAGTTCAACTGGTAATTCTTAACAAACTTCCCGCATATTTTGTTTACAAGAAGAGTAGCTTAAACATTAATTTCTTTCATGGTTATATCTTTTAAGAAATCTTAATTAGAAAAGAAAGAATCTAAATTTATTGTACTATTTTTAGTATGAATATCTGTTTCTTAGGAATAAAAACATGTCATTTGATACCATTTAATTATGTCAAAGAGTTCTTATCTCTCCATTTCTATATTCCACTTAACCCCAGTATCATTTTTAATCTTAATTTTTTAGATTTGAAAACATTTCACTGGTGTAAGTGTTGTAAATTCATGGTAACTTAGACACACTGGGTGACTTTAGCTAGTGTTAGTACAATATTAATA